GAGGGAGGGACCTGACCCGGACCCCTGGGGAGGAGAGAGAGAGAGGGGAGAGGTTCAGGTTTAGGGTGGGGGGTCAGTAATGTTTGTCTTTTTTCACAGCCCGATGAGTTGCAATGCATGCACCTTCACAGACTTGTCTTTTACACTTTTAAAAGTTACAGAAACAAAATATTTTGTATGAAATACGTTGAGCCACAAGGAGCAGCATGGAGTCCGAGTAGGTGCCCCGTTTAAGGCACCGTCATGTCTTCCCTGTGCACTCCTGTTTTACACTTAAAGTCCAAGGAAGTGCAGTCTAGTCCGTTATCACTATTTATTAGAACCCCAGGTGGTAGCCCTACTTCTGCAGTTGCCAAGGCAGTTTATGGAAAGAATTAGAAGGAACTCAACTAAATAGAAGCGTACTGTTTGATTAATAAAATATCAACTTCATACTGCAATAGAGTGCAATAAAACTAGCAAACCAGCAGAGAGGTTTGGCTGAAACTATGGGAACAATTGTTGAAATAGAGAGCAATTTGGTATGAATGGGAGTGTGTGTGTGTATCTGTCTGTCGATATGTGTCTACGAACTATTCAGATTAAAACTAGTGTGTGTGTGTGTGTGTGTGTGTGTGTGTGTGAGTGTGTATCTGTCTGTCGATATGTGTCTACGAACTATTCAGATTAAAACTAGTGTGTGTGTGTGTGTGTGTGTGTGTGTGTGTGTGTGTGTGTGTGTGTGTGTGTGTGTGTGTGTGTGTGTGTGTGTGTGTGTGTGTGTGTGTGTGTGTGTGTGTGTGTCTGTCGATATGTGTCTACGAACTATTCCAATTCAAACTAGTGTGTGTGTGTGTGTGTATGTGTATGTGTGAGTGTGTATCTGTCTGTCGATATGTGTCTACGAACTATTCCGATTCAAACTAGTGTGTGTGTGTGTGTGTATCTGTCTGTCGATATGTGTCTACAAATTATTCAGATTAAAACGTGTGTGTGTGTGTGTGTGTGTGTGTGTGTGTGTGTGTGTAGTCTGTTAGGGAAATGCTGGATGAAGTAGTAGTATCTAACCTCTTTCCTGATACATGCAGTGAATCCCTATGAACCCTCTAGAGGCCCTTCTTTACAGCCTCTTTGCAGGTTAGTCAGAAAGCCCTGCGGCCATGGCCTCTGCTGCTTACAGACTAATACCATAGTGTTTTGTTAAAGTGTTATTCCCTGTTGTTTGTTGTTAGGAACTCCCCCGCTAACCATTCAATACTACAGCAAATTGGACAGAATACAAAACTCTGCGACATCTGTTTTTTCCAATAAATATTATAAAAAAGGAACAAACACAAACTCTGAATGACTGCAACCTTTATCGAAGTGGGTAAATAAAAAAAGATATTGCTCATTGTTTCCTGAATAATACCGGGCTAAAAACGGTTAAACACGTATTACACAGAACAGGCTCTCCTTCTGTCCCCCCCACTAATCAGAGCCGAACCCAAAGCACGGAGTGTATAGCGTATATATATCAAAAACAACTATGGCTTGGACAACTCCATGGCTATTAAAATCTAGCACAGACCGAGGGTTGAGGTCAGAGGAGAAATCAATTAACTGAATCGATAGCAGTGATGAGCAGAGGCTCTGGGCGGCTGCTCTCCGAGAGGTAAGGTGTGTGACGTTAGGAGGGCCGTGTCATCGTGCTAAATGAGTGTGACTGGTGTGATAAGGAGAGTCGACTGACATGCTCTGCCAGAAGCAACAAGTGACTTCATTATTTTATTTTCCGAGATATGCGAGGTGCACAGATGACTGACAGGTCTCAGTCAGTCAGCTCGTCAGAAACGCTGTCTGGCGGAGTAGATAACTGACTGTTAGTGCTAACACTATAACCAGTGTTTTTACATCGACAGAGCTGGTGTCTTTTTTAAAGTTTGACTCATACGTTGCCCTCCAATCAGTCTCCAGTTTATACTAATTAAGTATCATAACGAGAGGTTCTCTGCAGCGCAGCGTTGATTCTGTTAACAATGGAAATATGTTCACAAAGACCTTTTCCCCAAGGCTATGAGGATGAGCGGACGACAGTATCAAACACTAACCGTGACGATAAACATCTTTGACGGAAAAAGACTAAAAACATAGTTTATCATTTGGGTCAGGATTATTTTATTCATCATATTTTGGTAAATTAGTGAACGTTGACTCTTTCAATGGGCCAGGTGTGTACGACTAACCACTGCGTGCACTATATTACTCACTAGTCAGGAGCAAAGCCAGATTCAAAGTCATTCAACCTGCGTTTCTCATTATAAAATAATAACAAATGGTCTGAAATAAGTTTGAATAAAATTACAACTTTTTTTTTTATTCGGCTAGATGAATGTTAATTCAATCTGAACAGGGCATTTGATTCAGCACTAAAGGGTAATGACTTTGTCGACTAAATCATTTTAATTAGTTATAACTAAAACTATGAAGGATAAAATGACTCCAATGTGAAATATGTTAACAAATCTAAAGATTAAGAGTAAGATGAATATATGAAATAGCCGATAAAAGTAACACTGTTGTCGGGTGAGGATGACAAAGGTTGTTAAGGAAGATGCCAAAGGTATAAGGTGACTCCATGACAGGGGCTTTGATCAGCTGTGAGCCCATCTGTATGGTACGGAGCGTTACCTCGGCTGCAGCGGAGGAGGACTGAGAGTCCAGGAGCTTCCTCTTCTTCCTCGGTCCGATGGCAGCGAGAGCCGTCAGGTTGGCCTCCCTCTGCCTCACCTGAGCCAGCTCCTGCTGCTGCATCTGGGAAACACACAACACGGATATCAAGCATACAGTGCGAGAACATACAACAGACACTCATTCCTCGTCCTCTCATCCTACCTCTTTCGCCTTCTGTTTCAGAAGCAGCTGCTCTGGGTCCTCTTGCCGAGCTCGAGACTGAAAGGCCAAAGAAAGACAGCATTGATTACTGTTGGGCAGGAGAGAGGCCAAATCCCAGGTCAAACCGGTTCATTTCATTTCCATCTTTATTTCGAACAGATTTAAAAAAACAAATAAAAAATAATAAATGTGAAAAACAGAATACCGTATTGTTAGAATACAGTATTTATCAATATTCATAATAATATTTATATATTCAACAAAAAATATTAATAATATTAATAATAATAAATCATATGTGTCCGAAAGGGAGCAGGAGGAAGCAAATGCTTATTAATTCCCACCCCTTACTTACTGCTAATCAATGATTATCCTTTAAATCATTTCTGCAAGTTATTCCTACTCACATCTTTACATTTATACATACATTTACAATCATTTCTCATCTTCAATCACCTCTCTTCATTCTCATAGTTTTTCAAAACAGTGTTTCTGTATATATCCTTTTAAACTGATTTAATTTAATCTGCATTGTTCAGAGATCAGGGGGACATTGCAGCTGTTTGCCCATTAGCTAGAACTCAATGAAACACTTTCTAATTTTGCAGAATCTACATCAACAACTTGTGAGTTCAAGTTTCTAGAAAATGCACACATCCATCAATAACTATATTTAAATGTGTTAAATATGATTCATTCCTAAACAGGGTATATGCAGGAATCCTGAAGTCAACTGTAATTCCTTTTAAGACCCTTTCCATAAATTTTAAGACCTCATCGCCACTTTTGAGTTTTAACCGGTTACATTGGCGACACACTTTACCTCCCATTGACTATATACAGTATTGATTGTCCTTCCTCCTTATCTTCCAACCATTTGGACGCAGACTTGCATTTCCCCATAACGATGTTGCTTAGCAACCGGCGTAAACGGACCTTCTCGCGCTATCAAGCAGTGAGCGTGCGATGTCCTGTTCAGATGACGTCCAATCCAACGGGATGCCATAAATAAACTACACAGAATCACACTACACACCTACGCAATGATTACATTCAGGCATACTGTAGAACACAACCTCTTTGGATAATTTATATACTTATTGAAAACAAGCTACAAAATGTAATACCTTGGAAAATGCCGTTCAATACTTTTTAATAGCCTTCATTTTCGCTAAATTGATTTATCAACTTTTAATACTTTGTAAGACCCCGCGGACACCCTGCTAAAGTCACATACCTAGTAGCATTTAATTTGGTGGTGTAAATGTGTCACCAGTGCCATTTAATATATCAAACAGTACATTTGTTAGAAAATGTTCCAACAGAACTGAGTTGAAATCAATCAGGGCCGACCTTTAGTAAAACTCTAAAGAATATTAATGTTCCTCTGAAGTGAATATCTTTGAGAAACCAACACATTCAATAAACACAGAATATAACAGCGTTTATAACACACCTGCTATCATTCATAAACGGGTCAAAATGTAAAAAAGTCACAAAAGCCTTGAAATAATAAAACATGACGCTTAAAACTGCAGCCAGTCTGTTTAAACCCAGAGTATGTTCAATGGACTGACTCTGCATGTAAGAGTCACTGCAACAAAGTGCATTGTGAATTTTGCATTAGATCAAATCTTGAATATTTTATTTATTCAGGTATACATTACAGAAAGGCTTTTATTAGTGACAACATAAAATCCTATCAGTTCATTTTCTAAGGGTATTTATGTCCACTCTATTCAGACACCAGGTTTCTGAATCCACAGACAATCCCCTAACTAGTTGACACAAAGAGACACCATTACCTTTGACTACCATTGAGTGTAAATGTGTGTGAGTGGAGCTGTACCTTAGCTGCCTTCAGGAGGATCTCCCTCTCCTGCTCCTCCTTCCTCTGTTTCTCCTGCTGGTCCAGCTGCTCAAAGAACTTGAGCTGAGCACGAACATCGCTGCTCTGCTCATAACTGTCGTCCTCCTGCCGACACACGGACAAGTTACAATGTTATACTTCAGCCCAGAAACGCCTTAGAGACATTATGGGATATATGTGGACCCCAGAAAGGTATATGAGGTATCTGTGCTTTGCATGCTGAAAGGAGCAAAGTAAATACACAGGGTTTGAAATGATGTTTTAAAGTCAGCTAACACTGTGGCAGGTCACTGGCAACTCAAATCATTTGTCTGTCACTTCTGAAATGTATTTCAAATACAAGCATGGTCCATGTTTAATAAAAGACATCATTTGCAAATATGATGTCTGTCTTGTAACCTTAATCCCTGACTATTCATACCTTCGGTTTAAAATACATTTGAGGTGGCAGGTACAAATGTCATTCCTTGATCCTCGCACCAGCAATATGTGTTTACTGCAAAACCATGGGGAAAGGTGAATTTAAACTTCTATACGTCTCTTGGATAATGCTGTAAACAAACCTTTATGGAGTAGCTCTTCTGCTGGGCTACTTGGGAAACTTTCTCCAGCAGGGTCTGTAGCCGCTGTTGCGTGGCGTGGGAGACGAAGGTCACCACGTCGGCCCCCAGGTCGGTCACACCGTACTTCCTGCCTGGAAAACAAACGGAGACATCCGGGGCTTTAGGCTCTGGATGGAGAGGAGCTGTATCGTCACTCATGCTGTAAGAGTCTCACCGATCTCCATCATCCTCCTCTGCAGGAGGGCGCAGGAAAGGAACGCCTCGTCCTTACAGGACCGCGTCACCGCTCCCACTAGACCAGAATTGGTAGCTAGGATGTTAGCGCTTTCCTCCGAGAGGTTCACTCCAGCCATCGAGGCCACATCGTTTATGTCGTCATCATCTCTGTAAACAGAAATGGAGGCGTTTCAAGAACCACGATCTGTGTTTCCTCTACATAACCTGTTACAAGGTACGCTGACAATGAGATTAAAATAGCTTTCATTTCTACATTTAGTTATTTGTACCTGTTTTTTCTACCTGTCTAATTCTATTTTAGCTAGTTGTACTTATATTTTACTCTCTTTGCTTTTTAATAACTGTTTTCAAATATAATAGTTTTTTCCACTGCACTTTATTTTACTGCCCTAAATGTTTTTTGGTATTTGGTAAAGCACTTTGAATTGCCTTGTGTTCGAAGATGCTATATAAATAAACGTGCCTTGCCTTTGCTGACTTAGTTCAAAAGAGTTCCCTACGGTATTTGTATCACCTTCGAGTGCTAATGCCAGAGCTTGTTTGATTAAACTACATGTACAGCAGGGTTGATTTGAAATCAGCTTCTCTCTTCTTACTTGAACAAGCCCCCCGCCTCTCTCAGCTTGTTCCTCTGAGCGAGGGTCAGCGCTGCAGCAGAGACTTGCCTCGGAAAAGGTGAACCCTCCGTCTTCACAGGAACTAGAAAAGACACATATTTACAATAAATAGGACGAGTCACCCAAGGAGCAGCACACACATGCACAGACAGATGTGTTATTAGCTTTTACTACATTGTGTTATCCTTAGCTTTTGTATATTAATGGAGGCATCTTTATACGTATGTTTGGATGTTTTAGGGCCAGTGTCCAAATAGCGCCTTTTTCTGGCAGGAAGTGTAATTTGTCACCGCTAAGTCTGACAGCCATATCGTGAGGGAGGGGGACGATAAAAGTCACACATTTAACGTGAGCAACATCCGGTGTCCAGCCGACAAATCTGCACCAACAAACAGGACTGTTGGTCTTTGTTTGTGTCTGACAGATTCGGCCATAAACAAGCTTTTCATGTCATCTCTACGGTGACGACACCAGCGCTTTTCTGCAAAGTTGAAATACTTGAAGCGTTACAGCGGTCAACAGAAAAAGGCTCAGCGCTGAGAGAAAAGACGCAGGGCGCTGTGCTTTGTCTAGAGGAGGCCGCTTTCGGTGGCGTGCGCTCGAGTCTGTCTGGATATTTTAAACTCGTCAACACTGTAAAGATGTACAATGAGAGTAATCAATAATAAACTGGTGAAAGCAAGCAGCTTTGTCTTTAAGTTATTTATTTGAAGCTTCAAAGGTACATGTCTCACAGAGTAGTCTGCAGGAGGGCACACAGGGTATAATGTGTGTGTGTGTGTTTTATAGAGGACTGTTTCTGTGCAGAAAGGAAAAGAGATAAGACTTTCTCCTGACTGTTATCTTACAATGCTCTCATAGGGAGAGCCGCATCCTCCAGGTACGACCTTGGCGGGAAGCTACCGTGTGATACAACAGGTCGAGTTGACCAAACAGTTCCTAAGCATAATATCATCATTTGGTTTTACCATATAAAGTAATATAAGAAGTTGCCACTACAGTTCTCAATGGGATCATTTGAAAAAAGAAGCTGGTTTCATTTGTCCACTGCACATATCATGACTTTGTGTTGACCTTGAGGTCCTCACCTGGCTGCAGCTGGACGTGCTGCTGGCCCAGCATGATGCGGCCGGGGACCTGGTTCCTGTGGGCTACCATGGTGGGCGTCGGCGAGGCTACCTGAGGTCTCAACATTGTTCTCTGCTGCTGAGGCTGGATAACCTGCAAGGGTAAAGTTCCACAGGCTGATTATTTTACCATAGTTTCATGATTACTTAGTGTTGAAAATATTTGAGATGCCTCATTTGATGTAAACTTTGCAGATTGGAGTCGAGCTGCCCTCTGACTCATGTATTAGTTAGTTTACCAGTGAGGGGGCAGGTCCTGGTTTGCTGATGCTTGTCTGGAGCTGGGGTCTGCTGACGGGGGTCATGAGGCGGGGAGAAGGGCTGCCCAGGACCACCGAGGTGGGGACGGGGGAGGTGGAGGGGACCGTACTACAGGCTGGCACCGGGAGCTGACTCAGCCGGATGAAGGCTGCTGAGTCTGGGGTGAGTTGCCTCAAGGCTGGGAGGCTTCTCTGCAGGAGAAACACAGCACACATAAAGTGACACGTATTTTATCTCCTGTGGTCCAAGAACATACACATTACTGGAAGGGATGTCAGTGAAAATGGATTTAGAAAATAAGCTTTCTTACCTTGAGGAAAGGCACAAGGTAGGGTTGGGGGGAGGAGTTGAGCTCTTTGTACAATCTGCTGGTGAATTCCTCAGCCTCCAGTCTGCCTTCCTAGGATGAAATGAAAAGGCAGGAAGAGCTGTGAGTGAGAGCGGTCACATCTGCAGGTACAGGGGATGCTTGTTTTTGACAACACTGTTAAATCACAGCTGGTCTTGTAGCTTGTTGATTGACAATACGGAACTTTCTGTCACCGGGAGGCTTTCTATGAAACAATAAAGAAGACGTTTTGTGACGTTTTAAAGTAGTGTGTGATTTGTTGTCTTCTCCATCGTTGCAGTCAGTTTCTCCTGGTTAGGATTCCTTTCATGTTTATTGTACTGTTTTTTAGCGGGAGCAGAATTATCCTCAGAGGTCTCCTAACCTTCAGTAATTAAAACAGGTGAAAACACTAAGTAAAGCTTCAAGTTGTTGTTCTTTTGTCTAAGTGTTTCTCTGCTTTAGGTTTTCAAGATTCAGAGTTTTATTCTCATAACATATATATATATATAAAACTACGGTGTAATTATGAAAAGCTTAGATCGCAGGTTCCTCAACAGTGCCATCTAAAAATACAAAACAATATAAAAGATGTAACATGGAAATGTGGCTTGAAACTCACAGGCTCACAAAATGATAGATTTCTGTCGTTTTGTAAAAAGGGAGCACAGCTCAAAAAATATGAAACAATTACATTTATCTACTTGTGTCAATAACCTCAAACGTGACACACATTATAGCAGTTGACAGGTAGACGTGTGTGTCCTGTGTGTGTGATGCTCACTCACCAGCAGGTCTTTGACCAGCTCTCTCACATTCGCTGCAGTCTCTGTGGACTGCTTCCCAGTGGAGGCCAGCTTGATCAGTGTGGACAGGAAGTTCTTACATTTCTTCACGTTCTCCATTGTCTCCTGCCCAAAACACAGAAGTGATTAACAAAATCAGGTCTCCATTGTGATTCAAAATGTGATACTTAGCTGCATGCTTCGCCATTTCTTATCAATCTGTAATTGTTTAGAGTACACCCTGACATCCAGCTCTCTCTGATCGCTCAACTCACTTTGCTCACTGATATCGGGGCAAGTTGGCTCCCAACTGACGGGCTGGCGGTCCTGGGGGTCATTCCTGTTACTGCAGCCCCAACTGAACTCTGGGAAAACAGACATCGTCACATGTTATTTAGGATGTTCAAACATTTTCAAAACCCCAGTTTCAATTCATCACAGATGAGTGTGGGTTTTAGAGTTGCTTCAAAGTTGAACCATGCATCAAACGTCAGGTCCATCAGAGGAAACAGCATTTCAGTTAGGTGCTCTTTTTCTCAAGAAATGACCTCAGTGTGTTTTTTGAAACATTAGGAAAAACTGTCAGCAATCCAGTATTATGAGTTTATCATTTTGTGATTGATTTATTTGTTGATTTGCAAATCTCCTGACATGTTTCAGTGCGTGTAACAAACTCTTTGGAAGTTTAGGTCTGAACTCTTTATTAAATCCAGGAAACAAGATTCAGGATTACCAATAACCCAAGGCAGGAAACCATCTATGCAGAAAGCACATCTTTCAGAATGAGTTTGCATCCTCTTCATTGAGTAAAAATGCACTCATAAGATCCCTCTAGTGTGACATCTACACATCAAATGGTAATATCATTATCTATAATGAAATAATCAAGCAGTAATAAGGAACTAAGTGCCAACATTACGTGTGCATCTCGTGTAAGTAATGCACACATAACACTGTGCAACACGCCAAATGAAAATAATAACAACTTATTTGACAGCAACACACGGGGTTACCTGAAGGACAGGGGGTCTGTGAAGAGTGGTGGTCGCAGAGAGGGGTGTTGGGGTCGGACCCCCCTGGCGGATGATGGTGCTGGGAGTCACTTGTCTGCTGATGATGGAGTTTCCAGGAGCCTGAGACAAGGCATAAAGCAAGATGTGAAACACTCAGTTTAATCAAAACAGGAAATCACTTTTATTACATCTAAATACATAAAGCTATGTATTTTACAACAGAATGGTGGAAAGAAAAGAAGAGTGTTTTAGCCTGTGCTGCAATGCTTCATGTCTTCTCAATCTTAGGGTCACATGAGGGAACTTTATCAGGATGTTCTCTACTGGTAGAGCTACCATTGAGGAAACTGCAAAAAGGTGTTTTCCATGTAAGCAGGGGACATTATCATATTTCATCTATCATGGCCATTAAGCTGGGTTTTTCCCACCATTGTGGCACCAAGTAGCGTGGTCATCCCCCGACAGTCCACCAGTGGCAGCTCACAAGTTTCCAAATACCAACACATGACCTCTAACATAACTATTTTGTACTTACACTGAAGCTGAACCTGTTCTTTGAAGTACTGGCCTGCACATGAGGTAAGTCATATAATGCTTCCTCTTAGACTGTGTGATCATACCTGAACAGGAGGTACACTTGTTGGTGTGGCGGTCCGTGGTGCCGTGCCTCCCTGAGCCTGGGCCTGCATCTGGGCGAGAGCCTGCTGAGGAATCATCAGCAGCTGTCCGCTCTCGCTGCGTACGAGCACCATCCCTGAACCATAAATCATAACAGTTAAGTGTTATTTAAGGAATCTGGTGCAGACACATAACCTAGTATGATTTCTGTATTGGATGTTGGTTAACCAATATACAATCATTCCATGTCTCATGTTAAGGTAATTAAACAGAGGCAAATTCATCATAGTGTATTTATATGGCCCAATATCAGGAATGTTACATTTGTCTCAGGGGTCTTTACATTTTATACAGAATATGAACACGACACGATGTGTCTTTAGACCCTCACAAGTAAAAACCCACAGTTAATGGGGAAAAATGAAAGAAACCTCAGGGAGAGCAACAGAGGAGGGATCCCTTTCCAAGGACGGACAGACGTGTAATAGAAGTTGTGTGTAAATGAAAAAGATACACCATTTACAACATAGATAGTCCAAATTCTAGAAACAAATCAATATGTCTATGTATTAGAAGATTAAGATGTATCCAGGTGGATGTCAACAATCCTCTGGGTGCCATCAAATGACAACATTAGTTTGGAGTAAATAAATGCCTGTGCACATACAGTAAAAAAGTTCTGATTTCACTCACCCGGGGGTAGCTGGATGTTATGAACGCTGGGCTGTCCCGGGGAGGTCTGCTGGAGCCTGGGGGCCAACATCTGAGGCGTGAAGGCTCGGATCAGGCCTGGACCGGGAGCTCCTGTCGTGGGGAACCGGGGAGAGCTGACGACCCCCGGAGTGACAGCCGGCGGTGGGGCTGTCTGTATTATTGTGGTGGGGGGCTCTGCCTTGATTATGTGCGAGCCTGCGCTGGATGCATTGTTTACAAGCGGGCTGTGTGAACCGATGGTACCTGTGTGACCCAATGCATTGGCCACCACAGCAGCATGGCTCGCATTATTGTTCCCATTCAAAGTTGCTACCGACCCCGTGGTTTGCATAGGCGGCCTGACGAGGGTCACAGTGGCTCCTGTTGTTGCTGGGCTCAAAGCAGTCTGGGAGTTCATGAGCGGCGTCTGAATGACACTGTTGGACGAGGGGTGCATTGTAGCAGCACCGAGCAGCCCTTTCGAGACCCCCGGTCCACTGTTGAAAGCAGTGACAGATATCGCATTGCTGTTGTTGTTAGTAGTGCCACTTGTCGCTGTCGCCCCCCCGCTTCCTGAATTGTGAGAGTCCATAGTTTGGCCATTGAAAGTATGCACTACTTTCCCCTGGTGATTGGGGAGAGAAGTTACTCCGTCACTAACAACAAGTTTTTTGCCAGGTTCGTGTCCCGAGCTGGAGTCTGTGCTGTGCGTCGGTGCATCCATAGTTGAACCATGGGGAGCTCGTTATATGATGAAACCCCCCTGCACTCCAACTTGTTTAGAAAGCAGCACAAACACTCTTGAATGTGATGGGGCAAGACTCTTTCACATGTACTGTGTTTATCAGTCAGCTCCTTCGCTTGCTTTTCGTGTTTACTCGGAGAGACAAAGAGGAAAACAACATTAGTAGTTTACAGCGTACCTGCTTTGGCAATCGTCTTGACCAAGTCCCAGCTGGACATTAGCTCGCCATGTTATTACCGGCTGCTTCGTGCCTACCACAGTGGTTGTTGTGACACAAGAACGACAGGTGTGACTCTACAGACTGTTCGGGATGACAAACCACCGCTTTATTCACCTCTGTGTGTGAAAAAGGCTCGTCTAGCATGCCAGACCCCACCGCCATCTTCACACTCCTGTGAGCTTGTGAGAAGTGAGGGACTTACCGAGTGACATGCGCCTGCGCACAACGACTAAACGTCTCCGTGCGGGGATTTTCGAGAGCTGTGATTGGCTGTAAGGCATTGTAAAAGGCGGTACCAATGGCTTCAGCTGTCATTCCAGGGGATGCATGAGACGGAACAACATCGTACCGGAGACGAAAATGTTTTCATCAAATGTTACATTGCCGCCAGCGTCTTTCTGCCTTCACGATAGCTATTCTGTTTCAGAATTGCACCGTGTGACTATTGGGAGAAGGATATCGGGGTTTACGACAAGCCAACACACCTAATTTTAGCGTTTACTCACTCTCGATGCGCTGAGCAAGATGGCTGCAGTGTTTTGGCCAACAAGTGAAGTAGCTGTTGTAAAGAGGCGTTTGAGGGCGCCCCACCCTCCTCCAAGAGAGGAAATAGCCTATTGTACAGTGCTGTCAGCTGTCATGGGACTTACGCTGACGTATAGATAAATGAAATGCAAATAAAGTGTTTTTCTTTCTTTCATTTACGCGTTAAAATGTGAACGAACTAAATATTTTATCAATTACATTGGGATTCACATTTTAACGCGTAAACGACAGAAAGAAAAACACGGTAGAAAGTATATGATAAGTCCTTATAAGTAGGCTACTTATGTAAGACTTATAATATGTAACGAACTACTTTATACAAAATCATTTTGGGGTATTTCTGCAATATAGTATTTTTTGTGAAGATTTATACATTTATTTAACATTTTAGAGGTGTTTTATAATAAGATCTCTTTTTATTCTACAACAGTACAGAATAGTTATTTTTTGTTTTTTTTACATTTTGTTAATTTCAATTTAAGGTTTTTCTGCAACAAAAAAAAGAAAGTTGCCTTCATTTTACATGCAGTAAAATGATGTGTATTCTATGTGTTTTTACATAGAATTCAATGTAATTTAATATTCAAGACAATTAAACAATGGAATTATCCTGTTAAAAAACGATAATTTCTCATTACATTACATTGCATTTAGCTGACGCTTTTATCCAAAGCGACTTACAATAAGTACATTCGACCAGGAAGATACAACCTTGAAGAAAACAGAATCATATAAGTACATCATGTTTCATAGAGCCAAACATTTCAAGTGCTACTCAACTGGCTATATATAAGCCAGTCCTTTATTAGTCTATAAGTGCTCTGTTAGCAGTTCTTTGTTAGTAATTCTATCGCTCGAAGTGGAGTCGAAAGAGATGAGTTTTCAGTCTGCGCCGGAAGATGTGTAAGCTATCTGCTGTCCTGATTTCAATGGGGAGCTCATTCCACCATTTTGGTGCCAGGATAGCAAACCCACGTGTTTTTGCCCATCTCATCAAACCAATTTACAGAATAAAACCTTTTATTTATCTTTAAATAAAAGTAATTTACTGTATTTTTTATGGTATTTACACTTAATATAGAAAAACAAGAAAGGTCTGTAAAATATTACAGTACATTTCTGTGAAAAAACTTCTTCTTTTTTTACAGTGTAGACATGTTGCAGTTATTCCTCACAGCTGTGAGGAATTTTGCATGGCAAATAAACTTGAATGCCAAATAAATTGTTAAATTGTTGGCTATACTTTTTCAGATAATAATGCAAATGTGAAACATAATAAATAAATGTAATAACAATAATAAATCATAGATTTATAATAATGAATCGGTTTATTTTTAAATGTTCTCTTTTAACAATGGATAACATTTACTCCAAACATATTGATTCAAGTGACATGGTACACATGTAAACCTTAAACAAATTGCTCATAGTTTTGTCTTAGTAATATATTCACATTAGTGTAATTGTTTATGCCATTGTGCTTGTCATGCTAATATGGTGTGCCGTTTTTCAAAAGGCAGCAAACTCCGCAGACTCTCTTCACACTTACGTCTTGATTACTTATTGTGGTACGCCGTGTGGCTAAAGAAACGAACCCCTTTTTACCCACAGGTGCATGGGCCATCAGCAAAGAGGTGCGTGCGTCACTGGCAATCTTATAAAGCGCACAGGTGCCTGCTAATTGCGGACACAGCTGATTAGAACTTGTCTGATGCGTGTCGTGGTTTAATGCTCTGTGATTGAGAGGCTGCTTTTCACTAAGAAACACATTTTTTGCTGCAAAGATGAGCTCCGGAGGAGGGACCCCATATATTGGCAGTAAAATAAGTTTGATATCCAAAGCGCAGATCCGGTATGAGGGGATATTGTCGTCTGTCGACACTGATCGGTCCACGGTTGCGCTAGCCAAAGGTAAGTGCCTAAACGACATGTCGTTTTAGTCTTCGACAATTATCTCTGCACAACTGAATGCATAATGATTTTGTTCATGTTTGTAGACTTGACATCATATTGGATGCAAACCAAACTTTTGTCCAACTTTATATCCGAACAGTTAGATCCTATGGGACAGAGGACCGGCGCGCAGATAGACCAGTGCCACCCAAAGATGAAATGTATGAATACATAATCTTCAGAGGAAGTGACATTAAAGATATCACTGTGTCCGAGCCTCCAAAACAACACCATGGACTGCCTCGGGACCCTGCTATTGTACAGGTGAGTGGCTCTGAGGAAAGCAATTTCAAATGAGTAGATTCATTTATAATGCAAGTTGAAAAAAGTTGTACTTGTCTATACATCACTCTTTTTGTAGTCATCCATGGGCAGCTCTTCGGCTGCGTATCATCCCAGGTGGAGTTCATACAGAGACATGATGCCCACCTACAACCAGCTGGCTGCTACGTCTCTACTGAACCAGCAGTACAGTACAGCACTAGGCCTAGGTACACTAGATTTTTTTTAAATATTTTAGACATTTGTTAGAGCTTTATGCAATCATTAGGCGCTTTCACACTGCAGTACTTTTCCCACAAAGGTTCATGAGAATTTAGTAAGTACAGATCGCGTTCACACCGGAATAAGTCCCTGGGGGTGGATTAGGCAAAATGAAGCCGCAGACGTCACTTCTTCTGCTGCTGCTTTGGGTTTACTGGCAGGCCGCAAACAACTATACGCCGTATACTGCCACCCGAAGTCCCCGGATTTGGAGTAAATCTCCAGAACGCCGACACCTCCTCATCTCCACCGCTCCCATGTTTTATTTTGTGTTGCCATAAATTAGTCTCTCTGCGTTTCTGCGCTGGGCTAATGCTAATGCTAGGATAATAAAATGACGGCTTCACAGAATTTTTTGAGTTTTACGGGGCGTGGTTTGCATTCCGCCCAGCCAATCAGAAATAGGAACCTTTTTCTCCCACGAAAGTCCCTGCTCAGCAGGGACTTTCGTGGGAGAAAAAGGTTCCTATTTCTGATTGGCTGGGCGGAATGCAAACCACGCCCCGTAAAACTCAAAAAATTCTGTGAAGCCGTCNACATAAACACCGATGTTCCGCTGTAACGGTGGTGGACTCATCAGAACATAGTGGGCGAGCTGACCAATCAGAGCACAGTGGGCTCTAATTGGGAGGGGGGGCAGGAGCTCCAACAAGGCGTTTAGGACAGAGAGTAAATACACATAGGCCTACTATACACAGAGATGCTGTATGAGAAACCAATGTGAGTTTGGGAAATTGCACAATATGAATCTATTCTAGTAGACCTCAACAATGGAATTATGATCAGTAGAAATGGCCATGACATGGGACCTTTAAAGTGTTGCTAGCATAACTGCATTATGTTTCTATGTTGGATAGGAGTGCCACCCATGACAGGCACATCCACTTTGAACATCCATGTGACTGACCAGAACGACAACGTGCCTCAGCCAACAGTGGACTTTGTGGATGTGTGTGTGTCCGACGGCCCCTCCAGCACCAACATCTCAGCCTTTGACCTGGATGATCATCCCTACGCGGGGCCTTTCACATTTGAACTGCTGGGTGACGTCAAAGGAAAATGGAAGCTGAATCCCTCACATGGTAGAACTAGTTATATGTGGTAAAATATGTAAAATAGAAAGACAAATATTATTTAATTGTGTGTGATTATTTCTCACAGGGTACACAGCCGGCCTGGTGAAGGAGCCTGGTGTTTATTCCGGACCACACACAGTTGATGTGAAGATCTCTGACATGCAGGGACAGTTTGCCATGTACAACCTCAGTGTGACCGTGTGTGATTGCAATGTGACGCCAAACTGCAGAGACCCCCGAAGCACTGCCACAACAGCTGCTCCCGGGGCTCTGGCCATAGTGTTTGCCTCACTACTTTTGATCATGTGTAAGAAACCAAATTCCTTTAGTTTGCATCGCTGTAAAATGTATTGTTACATTTCTGAATACAGGTTGAATCTTGTCGTCTCTGTCTCGCTGACAGGTCTGCTTCTGATGGCAGTGTTCATGACCTGCAGAAAAGAGTTCGCCCCTCTGGAGCCCAGTGATTCCTCTGGAGACACCCTCCTGTCATCAAACATTGAGAATCCAGGAACAGACTGCAAGGTCCGTACTGAAAAAACTTGCAGTTAAAACAAGTGATTTTGATCTAAATGTTTTGCTAATATCAATATGTTTACCCTCTTTCAAGGTAGTCGTACCGGACGATATAGTGGTATGGTTTACTGAGGAGACCCACAGTGACCCATCTAATTGGAGAGGACAGCATCATGGGATAAAACACAGCAATTTTTCCAAGGTGAAGAAACATGTTTTTATGTGTGTGATCTGCAAGTTTGCAGGGATTGACAAAGTTGCTTTTTTACAGGTTCTCATACATACATGGAAACATGGCTTGTAAAATGAACCCTTCTCTTTGAAAATGTGGACGTATTGTAACTTAGTTAAGCTCTGCATCACAGTTGTTCCCATAATTTACATCAACAGGAAATGGAGCAAAACTTAATCTACGAACACTTAGTCTTAGGAGAAGATATGTCCCATCTATACAACGAGAACTGGAACCAGGTAATATGCACCCATTTAAAGATAATTATAATCCGGACATTCAAATATTAATTCCGTCTCCGTTCTCAGACAACTTGGAGACCTCTAATGGCCAATGGCCACCATCATACCCATCAGGTAATACAGTTTGATTTGTGCTCATTGTTACGTTAAGGCAGTAGCTGAAGAAAATTGATATTTATGTGAACCTTTTCGTACAGCGTGAGGAAACGAGCACAATGAACTTCCATGCAGCTCTCCAAGCCCTGCTTCATCAGGTAGGCAGTGCACTTTGAACACGTCTACTTTGCAGAAAAAAAAAGGTGCCAAACATTATATTTAATTAAATGTTTTCACTCCTTTAGCGGCTCTCCTCTCTCCAGGGGAAAGAGGCTGACCTGCTGGACTATGAGCCTCACGTTTATGCAGAGGAGGGCGACTTTGACGTCCTCTCAGAGCTGGAGAACATCATCCTTCCTGACAAGGATTCATACCAGAAAGCACTCAACAACTTGGGCCCCAAGTTCAAGCAACTGGCCTCCATTTGCAAGCCACCACATATACAAAACTGAGCTTTTATGTTTTACATTTTTTTGTTGAGGGGTGAAATAAAAAAAAAGGGGTACATTTTGTTACTGAATGCTTTTGCCAATTCACATCAGAGAGGAAATCCATTCTGTTAATCATATGTTATTTATTAGCAACTGTTACAAAGTCCTCCACAGTTTTCTTTTTACAAGTAGGGATGAAAATAAAGTACAGCTGTTCTCCAAAAATACATTTGGAGTTACATTTGGTCAGTAGACAGAAATCAAAAACCAAATTATTTGCCTGCTGGCCTGCTGAAAAGACAATTCCACATTGCATTTGACCAGACTACCTAACAATACAGTTGCTTCTAGCATGTAGCTGCTTGTGTAAAAATAAATTGCTCCCATTTCATATAATAAAACTTTAAATTACAAAATTCCCTGAATGCTCATTTGGGATTAAGAAAATAAATCTTAGTTTCAAATGGAGGAAAAAGGGAGGTACTTTTTAAATAAGTAGAAAACTACAATATTTACAGAAAATGTTAACAAAAAGAAAAACGAAACGCATTTACACCCTCCCACTGCCAATTTTTGGGAGGGGTCTCTGCTCAGGGGTGCTCTGCCCTCTGCGTCCTCGGCCTCTGAATCCTCTGCCTCTCAGTAAGCGGCCTGGAACTCCAAATGTTTCCATGTTCATTTTCTTCTCCTCCACCCAGGTGATTCTCCTGAAAATGCACAAAGAAAATATATATTGTTGAGCATGAGCACCAAACGCCTCAGGTAAAAAACAGCAGAAGTTAGAGAATCACCTGGGCTTAGGGTCTGAAGAGATGTTGTCAAAGAAGCATTTGGCTTTGTCGTAGTACTTTTCTCCTAGAGTGTCCTCTTCCTCCTGCACAGCCAGGTTATCCTCGGAATCCACCTTTTCGACTGCAGAAATTAAACAAAATGCAAATTACACACAGAAATATTTGACATGTGCACTGAAAGTAATTTGACTTGTATCATTTGAAATAACCTTACCCACAACATCCTTTGTGAGATCATCTTTAAACTGAGCATTTGCAGTTTCAAAATCAAAATCAGACTCAAACTGCAAGGTGGTGGCCTTCGAGTTTTTCACCAGAAGTTGGCCTCTACTTCGGTTCCTAGACCTCCGGTTGCCTGCACACAAGCAACAGAAAGTTCAAGAAGAAAACCCACAAAGATATTTGTAAAACGGGTTGAGTAACCATTTAGAACAGGTTCATATAGTCTTTGATATAATTCTAACAGACAGGTGAGCATAATTTGACATTTATAATAATGGGTTTAATTGATATACACTTCATATCTGAGTTCAGATCCCGAAGTACTACAAGCATTTAGCATGGAACAAAAATAAAAACAGTACACAACACGGTAGAATGAATAAAAAACAGTAAAAATAAATAAATAAAAGGGTGGTAATAAATAAGATAAAAGCCTAGGAAAAGGCTCTATTGAAGAGATGGGTTTTGAGGCCTTTTTTAAAAGCCTCCACGGTCTGTGGTGCTCTCATGTGGTCGGGGAAAGCGTTCCACAGACTGGGAGCAGCCGAGCAGAAGGCCCGGTCTCCCATAGTACGGAGCTTGGTCCTGGGGGGTTTGAAGAGGTTGATATTGCTGGAGCTAGAGGTCAGAAAGAAAGTATGAGGGGTGAGGAGTTCCTTGAGGTAGGGGGGGCAGTTTTATGGATACACTGGTGGGTGAGGAGGGAGACCTTGTATTCAATCCTCATTTGTCTTTGTTCTTCCATTCTCCGATAATTCTTTATAACTCAAAACAAAGATTGCCATTAGGCCAGACATAATAGTGTCTGCATTTCAAATTTTGATACCTTGTTTTTGCCTTTGTTTCTGGTTCTCAGCAACTTGGTCTTCAACCTTGGCTGCACTTGGCTGAGGTGGTGTCTGACCTAAGGATGTAAAAATGTAATGTTTGGAACTTTTTTCTTTAAAATGGAAGTAATGCAACAAAAAAAACTGATTATTTATTTCTCAAGTGGTTGCTTACTGGTGGGTACGTTCTCCTTCTGAACCTGGGCAGAGTGCTGTGTTGGCTCAACAGGCTGTTTGCCCTGTGGCTGGGTAGAAGCCTTTCCCTTTTTCTGGGCCGCCCCAGCCAAAGGCACGGTCTGAACAGCCTGCTCCACCATGGGAGCTCTTCTGGCTGGAATGCCATGGAGTCCTGGTAGATAAGGAGCAGGAACAAACATGGTGAGGCTTGATCAACTGCTGATACATGTGAGAAACAGCCCCTATAGCCGCGTTCACACCGCAGTACTTTTCGCACTTTAGTTTCGCTATAGTTCCGAAATGTCGCGTTCACACCAAAAAGAGCCGGAACTAAAATTAGTTCATGAGAACCTTTTTACCCCCTTTTTCCGTCCCTGGTCAGGCTCCACAACCT